ACGGGATGCGGAAACCCTCCGAACAAAACTGGAACCGCCAGCAGAACCCCTACGCTTTGAGGCTGATTGTCCCGGGGAGAACGAACCACCAGCCCACCCGAAAACAGACCAGAGGGCCTCGCCGGAGTCATGAGCTGTATCCAAAGGCCACGGACCGTATTGTCCCAGCGCAATGACGGGTAAACCGCCCTACGCTGCTGAAACTGTGCATCGCACCGTAGCCCAGCGATCCCCCCTTAAACCCAGGAGCCTTGCTAATAGCATCAAGGGAACAGAAAACGCCGAGCAATGCTCAGGGGCCGTTTCCCCAATGACACTGGCCACAATCGCGAAAGCCTGCAACCAATTAGCAAAGCACGCGGGATAAACGAAAAAGAACGCCGCTTCTCCGCGTCCTCCCACCTGCCCTCGTCAACCCTCGACCCATCGACAGGCAGCCGCTCCAAGAGCAAGAGCGTGAAGATCCCGACATACACACCTCACCCAATCTACTCCCGTACATCCGAATGTCAATGCACACCAACGGGCCCTCGAACCACAGGCACACTGCGAAGCCGCCCGGCCCTGGCACCCCCTGCACCCTCACCCAAAACCGTGGATGGGGCCGCCTAGCCCAGAGCACCGGACCCCGCCGTAACCACCCCGGACCCTAACCCAGAGAAGAAAACACCAGGCCCCCGTGCGTCCCCATTATCCTGCCCTAGGCCCCCGCAAACATCCCTACCTGCAGGCGGAAATCACACAGAAACAGGCCCAGCACCCCCACTACCGCCCAGCGCAAAGTGCGCAACAAGTCCCCAGCCGGACCGCAAAACGCAGACCCCCGCACCAATACCCAACGAGATGACGCCGCCCCCCGACACCGCAGAAGCCCGCCCCCAACAGTTCCCGGAGAGCAGCTGAAAAGAAGAGAGCAGACCCAAAAAAAAAATGGTAACTCACCAGGCTGCCCAGGAGACGTCCCAGCAGCCGCGCGTCCAAAATCCATCGGCGCCGAGCGGCCAGCTGTCGCCCCCGGATCGGGTTCCGACAGCTCGCCCTCCGATCGGTCCTCCTCCTCTCGATGACTGGATGGCCTCCCAGTCCCAGGAGCCACGGGTCCCGCAGGTCTGTGCCGCTCCTGCCGCCCAGCACCAGCCACGCTCCCTGACGACCCTGGGCACTTGCCAGCCCTCCGCCTAGCGCTGCACCTGTGGAAAATTTTTTTTTTTTTTTTTTTTGACGGAGCCACTGCTCCGTGCTGACAGAGGGCCCGCCGGCCGCAGCACCAGACAGCCCGGCAGCTGCAGCAGGACATCTCCCTCGCCGGGCACCCTCCCTGACAGGTGCCTTGTCAGCGGAGGAGCCGCTGTCATCCCGTCCTCACTGCCGTGCGGGCGGGGGGCGGGGCTTCGTCCACGAGTGACCCCGCCCCCCCGAACTCCGCCGAAGCCTAGGATTCCTCCCGGCCTCCCCGGGAGCAGAGGCAGGAGAGCGCCCTGCCAGCGGGGGCCGGAGGGTCCCGAGTGGGGCTCCCATCATGGAGCCGAGCCCAGGGCTAGTAGGGAGAACGGGGGAAAGCTCTCTGGAGGCGCAGACCGCCCAGCACCTGGGCGCTCCCGCCCAACTACCTCCGAGGAGCCCGGGCCCTGCAGAAAAGCAGAGACCCGGCTCCGCAGCCAGCCCTCCCCTTGGAGGCCGCAGACTCACCCAGCCCGGCCCAACCGTCCTTCTCATCCTGGCCTCCCCACAGGCAGACACAGGAGAGCGCCCTGCCAGCGGGGCCGGAGGGTCCCGAGTGGGGCTCCCGTTCTGGTCCTGAGCTCTCTGTGGGGCGGACAAAAGTGCTCCAGAGGCCTAAGCACATGGGCGCTCCTGCCCCCCTGCCGCTGGTGACTAGCCCGGGCCCCGCAGGGAGGCAGAGACCCGGCTCCGCAGCCAGTACAGCCCCTGCAAGCCGCAGCTGGGCCAATTGTCCCTCCCTGGCAGCTGCCACTGTACCTAAACCGCAGGGAAGGACACCCTGGTGGAGGGCGAGAGGGAAGCTCTCTTTCCCACGTCCAGCTCCCAACTGACGCCCCTCCCCAGAACACTCCACCCTAAAGTGCAGGAGACCCCACCTACACTCTCCTCTACCAACCAGATCCCCCAGCTATCCTTTACCAACCCTAATACTAACATTAACCCTTACACATCTTCCTTCCCACTCTGGGCCTAGTCATGCCTGCCCTGCGCTAATTATTTTCTTCTTTTTCCGCTGCGGGCATTTCTTTCTTATAATATGTCAACAAAAGTTAGATTTTATTTCCATCATTTACACTTTCAAAATAACAGAAAACAAAAAAATGGCGTTTGCAAAAGTTTGGGCACCCTGCAGAATTTATAGCATGCACTGCCCCCTTTGCAAAGCTGAGACCTGCCAGTGTCATGGATTGTTCTCAATCATCGTCTGGGATGACCAGGTGATGTCAATCTCAAAGGTTTTAAATGCCCAGACTCATCTGACTTTGCCCCAACAATCAGCACCATGGGTTCTTCTAAGCAGTTGTCTAGAAAACTGAAACTGAAAATAGTTGACGCTCACAAAGCTGGAGAAGGCTATAAGAAGATAGCAAAGCGTTTTCAGATGTCAATATCCTCTGTTCGGAATGTAATTAAGAAATGGCAGTCATCAGGAACAGTGGAAGTAAAAGCAAGATCTGGAAGACCAAGAAAAATATCAGACAGAACAGCTCGCAGGATTGTGAGAAAAACAATTCAAAACCCACGTTTGACTGCACGATCCCTCCAGAAGATCTGGCAGACACTGGAGTTGTGGTACACTATTCCACTATAAAGAGATACTTGTACAAATATGGTCTTCATGGAAGAGTCATCAGAAGAAAACCTCTTCTACGTCCTCACCACAAAAGTCATCGTTTGAACTTTGCAAATGAACATATAGACAAGCCTGATGCATTTTGGAAACAAGTTCTGTGGACCGATGAGGTTAAAATTGAACTTTTTGGCTGGAATGAGCAAAGGTACGTTTGGAGAAGAAGGGGCACAGAATTTAATGAAAAGAACCTCTGTCCAACTGTTAAGCATGGGGTTGGATCAATCATGCTTTGGGGTTGTGTTGCAGCCAGTGGCACAGGGAACATCTCACGAGTAGAAGGAAACATGGATTCAATAAAATTTCAGCACATTTTGGATGGTAACTTGATGCCATCTGTGAAAAAGCTGAAGTTAAAGAGAGGATGGCTTCTGCAAATGGATAATGATCCTAAACACACCTCGAAATCCACAGGGGATTACATCAAGAGGCGTAAACTGAAGGTTTTGCCATGGCCTTCACAATCTCCTGACCTCAACATAATTGAAAATCTATGGATAGACCTTAAAAGAGCAGTGCGTGACAGACAGCCCAGAAATCTCAAAGAACTGGAAGACTTTTGTAAGGAAGAATGGGCAAAGATACCTCAAACAAGAATTGAAAGACTCTTGGCTGGCTACAAAAAGCGTTTACAAGCTGTGATACTTGCCAAAGGGGGCAGTACAAGATATTAACTCTGCAGGGTGCCCAAACTTTTGCAGACGCCATTTTTTTGTTTTCTGTTATTTTGAAAGTGTAAATGATGGAAATAAAATCTAACTTTTGTTGACATATTATAAGAATGTTGAATCTGTAATTTGATGCCTTTTGGAGATTTTTCCATCTTTCCTTGGCTTCTTTATGCACAGTAATACAAATTTTTAGCTGGGGGCCCAAACTTTCGATCCCCACTGTATATTTTTAGAATTTTTAGGTTTTTTGGTTTTTTTTTACATAAAAACACTGATCAAGTCTGTTATTATTATTATTATTATTATTATTATTAAAATACAGGATTTATATAGCGCCAACAGTTTGTGCAGCTCTTTACAAAATGAAGGCAGACATTACAGTTACAGTACAATTTGGTACAAGAGGAAACAGAGGGCCCGGCTTGTTAGAGCTTACAGTCTAGGAGGAAGGGTTGAGTGATACAAAAGGTAATAGCTGTGGGAGATGGGCTGATGGAGGAAATAAAAGGCAGTTATGATATGAAGTGGACCTGTTCAAATATTAGCACAAAGATATATTGACATTGCTGGGGTGGATAAATCAGCATTAATTTAAGGGCTGAAATGTATACAATATGTGGAGAAAATGAAATTTTTGGTTGATATTCTGTCTCTATCATTTAAAATACACCTATGATAAAAATTATAGACCCTTCATTTCTTTGTAAGTGGGCAAATTTACAAAATCTGCAGGGGATACAATTAATTATTTTCCCCATTGTATGTGTATACCATACCTGGTCAATGCCCTGGAAACGCAAAAATCACTGAAGTAGCTACGGCTATTCCTGTGATCTCCACTTTGTTTTTGGTCCTCTGCCAGCTGCCCTGCTGCATTGTGAACACAGGAGGTCGGCCACTGGACACAGGCACCATTCAAAGAATGCTTTGCATTTTCTGAATGAATGCAAAGCCTTCTTTGATTGGACAAGGTGGAGAATGTGACATCACTGCGCCTCCTCTCCAATCAAAGAATGCTTTGCGTTCATTCAGAAAATGCAAATTCTCTGAATGGCACTCATACCAAGTAGCCGACCTCTTGTGTTCACAAAGCAGCAGGGCAGCCTCTCAGCATGGGACATGGAAACAAATGGAGATCGGTGGAGTAACAATGTCTTCTTCTGTGATTACCAGCTTTCAGGGGCATTGGCCAGGTATGGTGTATACATAGTTACATTGGTGCAAGCTGTACCAATGAAACTATGTATAAAATATCCAGACCTGGAATTCTTTTTTAACTTCTTGCCAACTGCAGATAGCTGAATGACGGCTACACTGCAGCCGGCTAGTTCTAGGAGGGAGCGCGCACCCGGCGATCTCCGTGATCGCTGTGTCCTATGGACACAGCTGATCACGTGATGTGGTAAAAGGCCAATCACAGTGGTCTTTTACCACGTGACCAGCTGTGTCCAATGACACGCTGATCACCGGGAAATGCAATTGCCAGTTCTCGGCTGCACTTTCCTCACGCTGTCAGAGCATGAGGAAAGTACTGCCGAGAACCAGCAGTTGTCAGAGCAGGGATCGGCACCGATGATCAGTGCCCTGATGATCAGTGCCCAGCAGTGCCACCCACCAGTTCCGCCCACCTGTGTCCAGCAGTGCACCCACCTGTGCCCAGCAGTGCGCCCACCTGTGCCCATCAGTGCACCCACCTGTGCCACCCTGAAGTGCCACACACCTGTGCCCAGAAGTGCCACCCACCTGTGCCCAGCAGTGCCACCCACGTGTGCCCACCAGTGCCACCCGCCTGTGCCCACCAGTGCCACCCACCAGTGCCCATCAGTGCAGCCCAGCAGTGCTGCCAGTAAGTGCCACCAGTCAGTGCCCAGCAGTTGCGCCAGTCAGTGCCTAGCAGTGCCGCCAGTCAGCGCCCAGCAGTGATGCCAGTCAGTGCCACCTATCAGTGCTGTCTATCACTGCCACCTATCAGTGCCGCCTATTCGTGACACCTCATTAGTGCTGCCTATCAGTGCCCTTCAGTGCTGCCTATCAGTGCCCATCAGTGCTGCCTATCAATGCCCATCAGTGCCGACTATTAGTGCCAATCAGTGCTGCCTCAACAACGCACATCAGTGAAGAAGAAAAATTAACTGTTTGAAAACGTTTATAATAATTTTTTTTTTCAATTTTTTTGAAATTTTTGTTTATAGCGCAAAAAGTAAAGTGCCCAGCAGCAATTAAATACCACCAAAAGAAAGCTCTATTTATGAGAAAAAAATGATAAAAATTTCATATGGGTACAATCTTGCATGACCGCGCAATTGTCAATCAAATTGCGACAGCGCTGAAAGCTGAAAATTGGCCTGGTAAAGAAGGGGGTATAAGTGCCCAGTAGGCGAGGGGTTAATGAACAGATATAACAGAATGCATTCATTGACACATTTAACTAAAAGGGAGGGAAGTAGCTGTGTGTCCCCACTATTTGGGTTTTGATCCCTTTAAAGGGGTGAGAAGAGACAAGAGGAATATTCAGGATTTTTCTCACCTATACAGGGGTAAAGGTTCTGGAGAGATCAGATGGAAAGGAGAAAACTGATTTACAGTCTTCCCAGGATTATTAAGTCCTGGTATGGGACCCAGAATTCGGAGGCTCAGGGAGGTTTTGCGTGGGAAAGAGCCTACAACCCTGACTATAGGGACTTTAGTCCTGAAAGGGTTAATCTGCCTGCAAGAGAGCTCTGAAAAGGACAGGAAGCAATCAGCAAGTGTCCATGAGGTGTTGAGAGGGCTGTGGACTGTATGGCTACTGAGACACTGCATGGGTTCCTGTGGCCCCCTTTTCTAGACCCCCAAAACACTTTGGGACCTTAAACCCCGGTATGGGACTAGTTTATACTGCTGGTGAGCTATAGTTTTGCTTTCTGTATATGTGAGTTTGGACTGTTTTTGTTTGATGTGCTGAAGGAAAACTATTTTTGTTTTTGACTGTTTGGAACAATTAAAAACTGTTTGTTTTTACAAAGTCAGTGGGCTAGTGACCCGGACCCCCATATTATTACAATATATAAGTTAACATTTGAGCACAATCTGATTGCATCCAGTAAATCTGTTAAAGTCATCCTCACTGAGACTGTAAGCACAGATTTGTTGTGTGAATGTGAGAAATAGCCTCTTTCTCAGTTAACTTATTTTGATAATCTTCATCCTGTAAGGTGTAAAAAAAATATTAAGAGATTGGAGAAGATATGACATCAATCTCAGAACATACAGAAAAATCAATTTAACATTTTTGTTTTTATTATTCAGATTTGGTTCAGCAGTGTTAAAATTTCTCCAATCGACTTCATCAATCTTGGAGCAGAGATACCCCGCTTACTCGGTCCCTTCCTAATGAGTATGAAATGAATGCAGAGTTGTTTAAGTGAAAAACGACTGTCAATCAGGTTTCTGCTTGTCAGAAATCCAATAAAGGAAAAGCAGGCAGGAGAGGAAAGCAGCAATTTCACTCCATCAGTATCCAGCCGTATTGGGAGTTCTATTGATTTCTACTTGTACACTGATGAGTTGTATAGACCACCTTCCCACCATATGAGGATTCCAAAACACTGAAATATATGTGACATAATCTGAATTTAGAGTGGTCCATGACCCATCCATATCCGGGGTACACATATTGTGAATGGGGAGAAAATACAGCAATTAACTAGTAACATTATTGATACTGCAGCCTACCCAGGGGCGGACTGACCAATTGAAAACTCGAGCACTGCCTGAGGGCCCGGGGTCAGTAGGGGGCCCCATGAGATGCCCCTGGTACCTTTTCCATAGGCTTTTTTGAGTTTGGGCAAGGACACAGGGGCCCCATGATCCCCTATTGCCCGGGGGCCCCATGAGTTGTCAGTCCGCCCCTGAGCCTACCCATTCATTATGAACTAGTGACATCACTGAGAATGCCACCAATCTTTTCACTAGAGCCCACGGAAATCACTAAGAATGCCTACCCATTCACTAGAGACTAGAATGCAGCATATCTGTTTACTGCAAATTGGTGACATCACTAAGAATGCAGCCTGCCCATTCACCAAAATCCAGTGACATAGTTACAAGTTACATAATTAGTCTGGCTGAAAAAAGACAAAAGTCCATCCAGTTCAACCATAGAAAAAAAGTTATAATCCTATACCCAAAGTTGATCCAGAGGAAGGCAAAAAAAAACACCCAGCAAAGCATGAACCGATTTGCTCCTGCTGGGAAAAAATTCCTTCCTGATCCCCCGAGAGGCAATCGGATATTCCCTGGATCAAATTTACCTATAAATGTTAGTAACCAGTTATATTCTGTGTATCTAAGAAAGAATCCAGGACTTTCCTACAGCAATCCACTGAGCTGGCCAGAACCAACTCTTGAGTGAGTCTATTCCACATTTTCACAGCTCTCACTGTGAAGAAACCTTTCTGTGTTTGGAGATTACATTTCTTTTCCTCCAGATGTAAAGAGCGCCCCCTTGTCCTCTGTGATGACCTCAGGGGGAATAACTCTACACTGAGTTCACTATATGAACCACTGATGTATTATACATGGAGATCATACCCCCCCTTATGTATTATACATGGAGATCATATCCCCCCTTATGTATTATTAACATGGAGATCATATCCCCCCCTTATGTATTATACATGGTGATCATATCCCCCTTATGTATTATACATGGAGATCCCCCATATCCCCCTTATGTATTATACATGGAGATCATATCCCCCCTTATGTATTATACATGGTGATCATATCCCCCTTATGTATTATACATGGAGATCATATCCCCCCTTATGTATTATACATGGTGATCATATCCCCCCCTTATGTATTATACATGGAGATCATATCCCCCCTTATGTATTATACATGGAGATCATATCCCCCCTTATGTATTATACATGGAGATCATATCCCCCCTTATGTATTATACATGGAGATCATATCCCCCCCTTATGTATTATACATGGAGATCATATCCCCCCTTATGTATTATACATGGAGAGATATATCCCCCCCTTATGTATTATACATGGAGATCATATCCCCCCTTATGTATTATACATGGAGATCATATCCCCCTTATGTATTATACATATAGATCATTTCCCCCTTATGTATTATACATGGAGATCATATACCCCCCCTAATGTATTATACATGGAGATCATATCCCCCCTTTATGTATTATACATGGAGATCATATCCCCCCTTATGTATTATACATGGAGATCATATCCCCCCTTATGTATTATACATATAGATCATTTCCCCCCTTATGTATTATACATGGAGATAATAACCCCCCCTAATGTATTATACATGGAGATCATATCCCTCTTATGTATTATACATGGAGATCATATCCCCCCTTATGTATTATACATGGAGATCATATCCCCCCTTATGTATTATACATGGAGATCATATCCCCCCTTATGTATTATACATGGAGATCATATCCCCCTTATGTATTATACATGGAGATCATATCCCCCTTATGTATTATACACGGCGATCATATCCCCCTTATGTATTATACATGGAGATCATATCCCCCCTTATGTATTATACATGGAGATCATATCCCCCCTTATGTATTATACATGGAGATCATATCCCCCCTTATGTATTATACATGGAGATCATATCCCCCTTATGTATTATACATGGAGATACACGGCGATCCCCCTTATGTATTATACATGGAGATCATATCCCCCCCTTATGTATTATACATGGAGATCATATCCCCTTTATGTATTATACATGGAGATCATATCCCCCCTTATGTATTATACATGGTGATCATATCCCCCTTATGTATTATGCATGGAGATCATATCCCCCCTTATGTATTATACATGGCGATCATATCCCCCCCCCCTTATGTATTATACATGTTGATTTTATCCCCCCCCCTTAATCTCCTCTTATCATTAGAGAATAAATTCAGTTCCTCTAACCTTTCCTCATAGCTGATCTCCTCCATGCCTCTTATCAGTTTGGTTGCCCTTCTCTGTACTTTCTCCAGTTCCCCAATGTTCTTTTTGTGAATTAGTGCCCAAAACTGAACTGCATATTCCAGATGAGGTTTTACTAATGATTTATACAGGGGGAAATGATATCTCTCTCTCTGGAGTCTGTACCTCTTTTCACTTGTAATGCAACCTATCCATTCTCTAGAGACTGGTGACATCACTGAGAATATAACCAATCTTATCACTAGAGGCCAATGACATCACTGAGAATGCAGCCTGTCCATTCATTAGAGATAAATGACATTACTGAGACTGTGCATTCATAAGGCACCAATGATTCACTTAGGCAAGCCATAGATAATGCTTTTTTCCCATGGTTGCAGGAAAGAAAATCGCTGGATTCCCCCATCAACGCAGTCAGTGTTGATTGGGAAATCCCATCCGCAGAGCTATTGTGTTCTGCCGGCAGAGAGCATTCTCTGCCGGCAGGACACAACGATTACTATAGCCACCAGCAGTAGTTGTATGTAAAAAATCTCACAGGCTGATTGTACTGATGTTGATCCATAGATCAACATCGGTACAACCAGCCTGCCCATCGGTGGATTAAATCTTGGCCTGTCCCCCGCTGAACCAACTGAGGTTCAATCCATCTATGGCCAGCTTTAGAATGCAGCCTATCCATACACCAGGGACTGGTGATATCACAGATAGTTTAGTATGCCCATTCTCTATTTACTAGAGACAGTGACATCACTAAAATGCAGCCTATCCATTCAATGAAGACGTGTGACATCGCTAAGAGTTCAGTCTACCCATTCGCCAGAGACTGATGACATCATTGAGAATGTAGCCTATCCAGTTACTAAAAAAAAGTGACAACATTGTAAAGGCAGAATATCCACTGACTAGAGACCAAACAATATCACTGAGAATGTGGCCTATGCACTCCATACAGACTGGTGACATCACTGAGATTACAACCTATCCATTCACTAGAAATCAGTGACATAATTGAGAACATAGCCTGTCCATTGTTTAGCGACCAATGACATCACTGAGAATGTAACTTATCCATTCACTGGAGACCAATGACATCACTGAGAATGTAACTTATCCATTCACTGGAGACCAATGACATCACTGAGAACGTAGCCTAACCATTCATTAGAGACCAATGCCATCACTAAGAATGCAGCCTATCCATTTAATGGAGACCAGTGACACATAACTGAGAATGTAACCTATTCATCCATTAAATCCCAATGACATCACTGAGAATGTATTCTAAACTTTCACTAAAGATCAATAACATCACTAAGAATGTAGCCTATCCATTCACTAGAAACCAGTGACATCAATGAGAATGTAGCCTATCCATTCACCAGAGACCAATGAAATCACTGAGAATTAAGCCAATTCATTAAATGGAGACCAGTGACATCACTGGCAATGTAAGCTATCCATCCACTAGAGACCAATGATATCACTGAGAATGTAGCCTATCCATCCACTAGAGACCAATGACATCACTGAGAATGTAGCCTATCCATCCACTAGAGACCAATGACATCACTGAGAATGTAGCCTATCCATCCACTAGAGACTAATGACATCACTGAAAATGTAGCCTATCCATTTAATGGATACCAATTACATCACTGTGAATGTAGCCTATCCACTTAATGGAGACCAATGACATCACTGAGATTGTAGACTATCCATTTAATATATACCAATGACATAATCCTGGAGAATGAGAATGTAGTGTATCCATTTCATAGGGACTAGTGTTATTACTGATATTACAACCTACTGACCTTGTTAAGAATACAGCCCATCCATTGATAAGGGAACAGTGATGTTCTTGTCTGTTGGCTTAGACTGTTAGAAGACATTGATCTAGGGTGGTAAATGGAACATGAGATGGAAGGTAATGACAAATCACATCCTAAAATCTCAGGAACAATTAACAGTAAATGAAAGACCTATTCAAATCATATGGCCACCACCCCCCTCCACCATTCTTCTCTAAGTGACCACTAATGATTCATGGCAAAAAGTACAATAACCACAATATTCATCCATTTCTTAATTTCTGCAAAAGTGTTGCCAAGCAACCATAGAAATAATCCTATTATTTTGAAGATAAGATGTCTGGAGCCAGCAGGATATTCCATAAATGTTATTATGTTCTCAAAAATGTTGTTATGTACATGAAAAGCTGCCAAAGAATGCAGAAATGACAAGCCGTAATTCACCGTCAACGTGATCATGGTGACTGGTCCATGTACGAGAGCTGCAAGCCTAGCGGATGGATATATGACTTTAATACCATCAACTTAGATTTAATACAATTAAAATCCGTCACGAAGATACTCTGTAGGGGAACGTCGAGGCTCTCTCAAGGAATTCTCGCTTTGATATGCGTCTTTGTTTGCATTATGGGAGAAGAAGTAAATCGCTCAGAAGGCATTGTGGTTTCTGTATTGACTTTGACTTTTTGTTTAGGTTTAATTATTCACCGTGCTGTGCCGAAGAAAGCAAGTACATTCGTAGGGCTCATTCACACCAGCGGGCATGCGATAAGGTGGGCATAAAACGCGTGCTGA